ATTGTCACGATGACAAATATCGCTTAAGTGTGGTATAAGTGACAAAAATAACATGACAATAAAGTCACCCGTGCGTGTTATCTCTAATACAGTAAAATTGTGGTGTAGCACGAGTCTAAAAGATTTTAAAGCCAATATGATAAAGAATAATGGAGAAGAATATCTCGATGTTAAGACCTGACACAACTGAGGTACGCTTATTAAAATAATATATTTACAATTAAATTATAACAATTTAAGTAATGAGTTCCTTTAATACTAAAAGTACACTTATAATAATTATCGCTTACAAGCTATACAGTACTTCGACTAAAGCAGATTTCATACTAGTTTAACAAAACGCAGTAGTTTTAATGGAGACTTCAGAAGACGGACTTAAAGTTTTAAGTTATAATAATAATCTATTTTTTCGTGTACCACTGGGAATAGTAAACAACTTCTTATGGAAAATGTTATACATGTATACGTTACTATACACATAATACAAAATGTAAGATAAAAATTAAATGATTAGCATATATATCCTACAAGTTAAACAGAACATACTTCCAAGAAAATATAAGTAAAAAAATATAGTATTTGGAGATAAATAATTTATTAAAATAAATTAACATGTAAATCTAATTAGCTTCTCAAGTCTTATATCAAAACTGCGTTTCGTTAATTGCTTGATTCCTTGACTAAGTCTCACAGGCATCTAAAACATAATCACTAAAAAATGTTATGAAACATAATAGGGAGTTCGTTTTTATTCATTCAATTAATCACTACTTTCATTTTATTACGTGAAACTTATTAAATAAATGTCAAAGTTGCAAGTAAAGTGTATTTGAATTTCTATGAACGACAGACAGGCTGACCAATCTTGTTTGAATTTGTAATTACATTTACTCAATTTGACTGTGAAATACAATAATTTAAGGATTTCTCAGGTTAATTACAGATATGGCTGAAATACAAAACACACGTTAACTAAAACGTTACTATTGTAATACATATTCGAATTCCTTCAAATAATTTTCTACAATCTAATCCAATCTAATGTTAAATAAAATATAGTAAAGTAAGCAATAAATATTCAAACATAATAATTCGATATTTTTTTCCTATATAATTCCATTATGTAAATTATTATTATAACATATTCTGTATTGTTATTTTATTGTAACTAACGTAACGCATTACGTATATTCATTAACCACGTTCAAAATTTTTCAGTACAACAATATCTCAGATACTGCACAACCAAAACAAACACCTGTGAGACAAAAAAGAACCATGTCTTATTCCGTGTCTAACTATATTTAGTTTCTATTTATATATATATATCTGTAATAAATTGTATTCTAAAAAACAAAACCAAAGTAAATATTATTTATTAATACAATCCTTCTGTTTTATATAAAAACTAATATTTCAACCAAAAAAGATATGCATACCTTTTGCCTAAAACGTGACTTCCTAAATATATAACACCACTATTATTTCATGGATATATTTTGTAAGTTCATTATCAGCAACTCACAGTAACTCATAAGGATAGTATACACACGAAACAAGACCTCAAAATTTGACTACTAATTCTACACCAGCATACAGCTAACATCTAGCAACACATCTAACGATAAAAAGAAATTTCTCAGTCTGTCATATTGATATCATGTTGGTAACATTTGACCCGACATAAAACATCTCTTACCAATTAATTTACTAAATGCAGAAACCATAAATATATCTCCGAGACTAGTACTAGAAGTCTTTGGCTATGGTTTTTTTTTCTCTTAAAAAAAAAAACAATTTTATACATTTTGTGGCGGTTAACTAATAAGATTGATAAAATCAACGAAGAAAACAATAAAATTAATCCATTTAATTCATTATGCTTTAAAAAGATGACTTCGCATATTAAATAAAATGTACTTACGGTTGACATCATGAACAATTCATGTATAAATTTAAAAAATCGAGAGGTTGTATAAAAGTAAAAATATTCAAGTAGCCCATTAGTTCAGTTGTAAAATTATTAAAAAAATGCGAAATATAATATGTAGTGTAAATCAATAATTTACAAATTGTAAAGCATTATGTTGGGGTTTTACGAAATGGCGGCTGAAATTTGTATACTATAATGTTGTTCCAGTCTCCATTTCATAAATTTATTATACAAAAAAATATATTTCTTTTCGCGAAAAACTCATATGTACTATAAACTACGTATATCTCACTACATCGATCGTGTGCTGTATATATATACAAACACATTTATAATATCTACATTATTTATATATAATTAGGAATAACTTTTTCCTTCACACAAGCACCGATATGTCGAGATGGACTAAAATTTCACTATCCACTATAGTACGTTTACTAACATTTTAGAATATCATTTCATTACTTTCCTAAGGACAGATGGCATCATTTATTATTAGATACTTCACGATTAATACTACAATTTATGTAATGCTAACCAGTTGTCAAAATTTAGGCAATATAGATTTGAGCAAAAGTGATAAATATTTGTTATCGGTAATTCTCTTAAGATGTTATTTTACACATATATAGGAACTTCCAATTGTCATAATAAAATAAAATATTTTTTAAAATATATATTAAAAATTCACTAAAAAGGAAAAAAAAATCTCGTTCGGACAGCCGAGCGAAATATAATAATAACGGCATTAAAAACATTTATGCCGACTTAATTTTTTTTTTCTTATAAATTTTAGAATAATATTTATCAATACCTGTATTTTGACAACTATTAGAATCACGTACACTTTAGAGTAAGAATTGACATGAAAGCAATTAGGGTTATTATTACTAGAAACTTATTGTCGTATAAAATTACGGAATTGCACTGGCAAGCGACATATCGCCTCGAACTGAACAAAGAAATTAAGAAGTGTACACCTTTACAATATGCACATAATATGTATATTATCGTATAACCTGATTTAAGAGTTTGCAGTAAATTTATAATAAATATTTAACAGCAAAATAATATTGATTTTATAAATAATTATTTACATAGATAAAACACATCTCTGCGAGATACAGATAGATAATAAAATAATAAAACTATTTTTTTTTGTAATAAAGTATTAAATCCATGTAAAAAATAATTATTATTAAACATGTTAATAAAAAAAAATGAATTATGAAATGCAAGATAAATCTGTTCAATCTGGAGTCACGTTAGTATTCGATCTGTACATGAGTCTAGGATAATATAGATTATTCACATAGAAATTTTTATGTTATTCTATTGTAACTGTATGATATGTAACATTTATCATTATTACATTTAACACGGGATAGCAATGTAAATGCTAAAATATAGTCTTTAAAAAATTACAGTTATTATGTTTATAAGCTCATATTTTAATAAATTCCAGATTGTCATAATTTCGACCTTATATGAGTATACATAAAGATAATATCTATCTATATTTATTTGTTTCAGTTCGAAGCGATACGTTATATTTGTGCCATATTCCGAATAGATATGTTTAATTATAATTAACGCACAAAATGTCGGAAGTCAGGGACAATTTACTTTTAAGAAAAGCTCAAGTGAATATTTGTTTATAGACAACCATATTCACATTATCTGTGGTACAATTATTGTGTTTATTACAGTGTCACAAGCAGACAGTAATATCCAAACACAAATGCACCGAATTAAATTATTATGTTTTAAATGTTTTTTTATTTTTCCAAATTAGAATAAAATTAAAAAAAAAGTATTTTTTTAGAAATGTCCAGAATTGAGTTTAAGTTACTTAATGCCACCAAATGAGGCATTAATATTCTCGTTAATGCAATTCAGCAAACTAGCTAGTATACATAGCGCGAGTGATTTTTGTCATAGTGACTAATTCGTCACTAAGTGTGTGTACGTGTACACATTATAAAGTGACATAAACACACCACAGATTTCATAGAGGCGATGAAATTGTCACTATGACAAATGTCACTTATTATTTTATTTCACTTTAAATGACACATTTACAGTTATAAAAGTACTGCATGTCATGATAATATAAATAAAAATAAACTAAAATCATTGATAATGTGAACAGAGTTATCATATTATTCCTAAACAACGTAGAAGCTCATTTTTGATATAAACAAATATTAAACCGAAATAAATTGTGTATAAAAATTACTTTTTTTTTTAATTCTAAACAATATATAAAGGCATTTTATAAGCTCACAACACAAAGTATTATAGTTCGAAACAAGATTCTTTATTGTATCGTCACAAATTGGTGTAAATTAAATGTTTTGATATAAATAAATGGTACAGTAAGGACAAAAAGTTTTCGCGAGATAAGACACATGGCACTGAGAATAATTAAAATAAAATAGTAAATAAATTTTCATTTATCCCGCAGAGACTATTTTCCGTAACAGTACCGTCGACGATCGCTAAAAGGGGGGAGGGGGTTAACTTGAAAATTAAAACAATAAAATACATAAGTTAACCCTACATACCCTGGTATTGGGGACGTAATCCCAAATAATTCTCTTACAGCCTTCTTTCGTTATTGTCCATACCTTCTAATCTTTCTAATACTTAATAATTAGGCCCTCTTTACAAGTTTCAATTAAATTAATGAGTAATTTATTAATAACCTAATTCCTTATGACATACGCTAAATAAATTTAGTCGATGGCTACATTTTTCAATACACAATCGGGACTTAAAGCGATATAAAAGCAATGTCATGTGATACATCACATGTTGTTTCTTTCACAAAATTACATCATAATTTTTGAACATCACTGTAAATTACTGATGCCCATATATATATCATTCCGTGTCTAAAGAAAGTAGTATATATATATATATATATATATATATATATATATATATATATATATATATATAACAAACAAGCTAACGGCCCACCTGATGGAAAGTGGTAACCGTCGCCTATAGACATGAGCAGTAACATGGACATAACAGAGTATACTGTTTCGCCCATGATACCCCTCATGCGTTGCCATTCCTGAGGACTCAGGTGTTATTTGTCCGTACCCAGTAAATTCACGCCATATCCCACCCTTTAAACCGAAACACAGCCATGCAAATACAACTGCTTCATGGTAGAAACACGAATGGAACAGAGGTATCCAAGCAATCGACTTTTGTACAAAGTCGCCCTCTGGTTGTAAACATTAAAATAGAATTAAATTATTAAATGTCATTAAATTTACATCGCGTTAAGTCCCGATTATGTATTTAAAATGTGTGTAAACAACGCGAAAGTGTAAAATGAACTAATAGAGACATTGCCAGACTTATGGTGGGCGCCCTCTTAATGGCTTGATTGTTAGATGTTTCCCTAATACTACATACAAGTGATGGCCTTTTAAAACACAATTATACCTTAATTACACCTGTTACTTATTAATTCAACACGGTAATTGGTATCAAGCGATACATTTCGTGTCAATTGCCTTCGACCTTGGTGTAAATACATAATAACCTTTATTTATCAAAGGGTAACATAACTAAGGGTTTACATTGGGTGTAATGTAATGTAACGTATTTTATAATATTTACCCTATTGTTTAATTTAAAAAATTACAATTGCCATAGTTAAAAAACAAATATTGGACAATATTTTAAATACACAATCGACATAACTGACCAGTAGCGACCACGACGTGGTGCAATCCACGTCGAAACGGTAATAAAGAAGCAAGTAGTAGGTAGGTAGGTAAGTACTATTTACCTGTAAAGGTTTTTAAATCGTGTTAAGTCCCGATTGTGTATTTAAAATATGTGTAAACAACGCCAAAGTTTAAAATTAAACAATATTCATTAACAACAATAGGGTAGTAGACGATCATTTTTATTCATAGTTCTTATTTAAAAAAAATAATAAAAAAAAAAATTAATATCATACCAGTAATTGGAAATTAAATTTATTGTGCCATACGTAAGTCAGATATGTGGTTATAATTCAATAACTAGTAATATCATTTTACTTATAAAAGAAAATAATAAGAAACATTAAAATACCTTTTTAGGATTGGCTAATATCTCTCAACAAGCAAATCCATGTAATGATGACTAGTCATTCCAGCTAGCATAGTGAATTATCAGATCGAGCTCCATGCAATCTCCATGAAATTTGTGGTTAATTCTCTATAAAATTTACCGTCGTGAGCCAAAAGACCTTTCTCACCTGGTGCTAGCGTATATTGATAGCACAGGCAGGTTACCATTCCATTATAAAAATTAAAAAAAAAATTCTAAGTCTTAAAATTGTACAAGAGGGCCCGTTTACCTAACAGTTTTACCTTACAATGCACCAATCTTATAGTAGAGATCCGACTCGCGGACTATTGAAGCGTACTGGCGCGAAAATTGACAGCTTGCAGCGTCATATTCCATTTTTATCTTCGTAAGAGTTAAACATCCACCAACAAACTGCACACACTGCAAAAAGAAATGCACAAATAAGAAAAAAATAAAAGATTCACGCACAACCACTCTTTGGAATCAACTTCCAGCAGCAGTATTTCCAAACCGATACGACATCATAACCTTAAAAAAGAGCATATTCCTTTTTAAAAAGCCACCAGCACACCTGCAATGCCTCTGGTGTTATGGATGATCATGGGCAGTGGTAGTCACTTATTATCAGGCGAGCCGCATGCTCGTTTGCCCCTATGTTGTAGAAAAAAATACATTTGGCAAAGAAGACAATCTCCGAGGTAGGGAGAAAGGGATTGTTAGTAATGGTCTAATGGACTCCATTGCTAGCAATGCTACCCTATCAGGTCAACCTGCAAGCGGTTCCCCCTGGAAACCATTTTGGTAAATTCTTTATGAATTCACCTCTATGGGCTAACTAACCTGCTTTTACTGGTGCTCCAGCCCTAACCTATCATCTCTTACTGGTGCCCCACCAGTGTATATCGATAGTGCAGGCGGGGTAACCATTTTTTCTGGCTACATTATTGTGATCCTTATGAAAATCACAATAATGTAGCCCGAACTTATCCAAAATTTGCTTATTAAAGCTAATATAAAATATTAACTTATCTATTTGTCTACCCATGCGAAACCCGGGTGAATCATTAGTTATTAATAATATAATAATAATAGGTGAATCACTAGTTATTCATAATAATTAATAATTTAAAAGCCTTACGTTACAGTGCACCAATTTCGGGGTACAGTTGCGGCACGCCAGCGGTCGGCTCGCGGTACTGCAGCGGGTCCGCGCGGAACTCGACCGCTTGCAGCGCCATATGCCCGTACACGGCCGCAAACCGGTCCACACATGCGGACCGCTGCGACATGTGGCGGGCGTCGGCGGATAACATCTCGGTGTTCGTGCACTCCGGACATTTGAACTTCTTTCGGGGCGTCACCTGAAAGGGCCGATTGGCAGCTCTAAATAAAGTGCTAGGACTCTGCGATATGTATCCTTATCCTCATATGCTTAAACCTAAAAGGTCTAAAGGGGGAAATTGATTGTTAGTAATGGAGACTAAAAATCCCATTGCTAGCAATATACCCGACCAGGTCGACCTCCTCGTGGTTCCCCTGGAAACTATCATGGTTAATTCCTGATGAATTCATCATGATGGGCTAACTGGCCTGTTTTCATTCTCATCGATCACCCCTTCATCACCATTCCATTTTCACCCATAAAAAAATACCTAAAAGGTCACGTACAGTGCGGTTTCAAAGGAATTTTCTTCTGCGAAATTTCAGAATAAAGAATGATCTTCCTGCCGAGGTTTTCCCTAGAGACTACGGTATGGAGTTTCCCAAAAAGGATATTACGGTTTCTTCAAGATCGAGAACACGCACGTGACACCCTAGTATTGCAGGCGTCCACAGGCTGCAATGACCTTTTGCTATATGCAGACTGGCTGTATGATTCTTTGCCACCTTCGTAATATAAAAAAAATGTGGTGAGTATTCTAACAAAGACAACAAAATGTTCGTGCATTCAGGATCTTCGTTCTTTCGGGACATCCAATGAAAGGGATAAATGACGGCCTTTGACATTTGAATAAAATGTAAAGATATAGCAAAAATTGCCGGGCGTCCGTAAACAACCACGTATTCTTCGATTCAGGACATTTGGACTTTTAGAGAATCACCTTGTCAGCGTGGTCAAGATCAGTTAGCAGGTTATGACATCTGTTATTTGCATTCATGTCAGGCGTCAGTTTGCTTTTTTGAAGTTAACATAAAATACTTTTTATATCACAAGTGTATCAACCAAGGATATAGGCTACCTGATAATTAGTAGCCTCCAAAAACGATTGAAGAACTATAGACCGTTACCCCTTCAAAATCGCGTCTACGAACTATCCTCGAGGGCCCTGACCAATCGTCTTACGCGCAAACTTGACGAGTTTCAGCCACCCGAACTAGCTGGCTTCCGAAAGGGCTTTAGTACCATAGACCACATACAAACGCTACGGCAGATTATACAGAAGACCGAAGATCTACTACTACGTCTGGCCTTTGTGGAACATGAGAAGAGAAAGAATGGCTGAAATGATGATGATGATGATGGCCATAAACGATTATAATATCAGAATTGCGACCATAAAGATCTTCAGTTACAGTGCCTGAAGTTTCACTGCTCTAATCTCAGTCCTCAAACCAGAACACTCAGTGGCTGCTAGCAATTTATACAGAAGACTTAGCCCCCCTCCCACCTACATTTAATATACCTTAATAGGTGGTTTCCTGGTGACATTGGCGACGAGGAAGTTCATGGCGATGTCCTCGCAGTTGAAGTTGTCGTCCACCCAGTGCCGGATCTCGGCTGGCATCTTGTACGTGTAGTACCACGACCAGATCTTGTGGTGGAACGCGGCGCCAGTCAGCACCTGGAATCAGATAAATAATAATTAAATACCATTGGATATATTACTATATTAGTAGAGATTATAAAATTAAAATATTTGCCGTATAATCTCCCAATAGAATGGGCCACTGCTTCCTTTCCCGTAGATGTCGTAAAAGGCGACTAAGGGGAATTAATAGTCGAGGAAGGGGCAGCCGCGTTCCTCTTAAATATCCGTATATCAACTTTTTAACGGAGCTAATATTAGGACCAATCTTGAGGAATAATTTTCTCTAAACCTGAGTGCCTACCATGAAATATTTTCCGAAATTTCGGGGACGAACGAGACAGAAATTTGATGTTAAAATTACATAATACATGCCGTTTAAAATTATTAAAAATGGTAAATTATCGTTCCTCTAGACTATTAGGATAGGATTTATGATGAACGAAATGTTAAGCTCCATTTTCTGGATCGATTTCGGTGGGAATAAAAACACGAAATTGAGCTCTAAATTTCGGAATTTCATTTCATGGTAGACCACCTGTTTCTTAACTTTTTATTTAAAGTTGATAATTTCGTAAAGTTACTGTTTTACGGGCCATCATAAAACAGTAATTAAATCTATTACAAAATGGGCTTAAATTGATCCTTACAATAAAGATTACGATATGATATCAAACTGAAATATTAATTGTAAAATTAGATTCAGCTTAGGTTTCGCCTCCAAGTCCACCCCACTGTTGTCTTGCACAGATATATTGGGCTATATTCTAGTCATCTCAAGAACAAGGTAATGATAGAGAAATTTTCCTGTACTACCACACTGAGACTTCCTAAACCTTTAAAAAAATAATAATTGTAATATTTTGTGTCAATTAATTTTAATTATTCCCCTTTATCCTAAGGTTACTTGGAAGAGATCACTATTTAGCGATAAGGCCGCCCATTGTTGCCTCTTTATTTTGCTTCCATGTAATTAAGTATTAATTTTGTTTGTGAACATATTGTTAATGTTTATAATCTGTATCATTCTTTGAAGGTAACAATAAGGAGTTTTCATTAATTCATTCAATTATGAATTTTTTTTTAAATTGATTTGTAAATCTTCTTCAAGGAGCTTTTGATTTCTCGTTATATAATATATGTAAAGAGACAATTTTGGAATATAATTAGAAGGTCGCCATTAATTTTAGTCTTATCATTTTTCAAAATTGAAAATTAACTTTGTAGTATCTTATATTCGCATATGGGGTCAGCTAAGATTGCACGTCGACCCATCGAGATGTTCTGTGCTACCCCCTGCTTTATACCACCATTTCATAGATACTATGTGACCTTAACGATATCCCGCGGTTTAAGATATCTGTAGTCCCCTGGATCAACTTTGTAGCGAGACTAAAAAAATATTTAGACCAATTCTTAAACTGTATAGGTAGGTATTTCAAAATAGTCCATTCTCAGTTTTTACTGTTGGAGTTTTAATACTGGCTGTTGCCACTGAGGTTTTTTAGAACAATGTATTATTTTTAAGTTTGTTATGTGTCAGATTTTTATAAGATATGTCTTGTATTTTTTTCCACTAGACTTATTATTTTATATCTCAAATACATATATGTTTTATTACTGCATCCTGCTATTTACAACATTTACTACGTTCTAAAGTTATTCTGAACAACACATTGTTTTCAATCTCTTAATCACAGGACATACTTTCAATCATCAATCGGAATACATCACGACCACCATCCAAGACACAAAAAAAGCCAATGTAAATGGTCCCTAATAAAATTTTCAATTAAAACTATAATCAATACACACACAAATTAAAACGTATGTTTGTGTTACACAAAATGTACACACAAACCTAAAGACCACATGCACTGAGCACTATCCACTGGTAACACCCATCTATTATTCAGTACCTATCAATATCAATCAGTATCAATCAATACAATTAACATGCGTATTGTATTGTACTAGTGAAACACTCAACTGTTTATTAGTGGACCTTTGGAATGATTTCACTCATATTTTCAACCGATTTCAATAAAAGAAGTTAGTTTTAAATTTTCGCGTTGTTGACACATTTTTTTAAACACACTATCGGGACTCAATACACTGAGCATTTTAGTTCTGTCGTGATCACGACGCGATGAAATCTACGTCGAAACGTCGACAATAAAAATCAAGATACGTAGGTACTATTTACCTGCAATCGTCACGTTAAGTCCTGTGTATTTTTTTTTTATACAACTTAGAATGGCAAACAAGCTGACGGTCCACCTGATGGAAAGTGGTAACGCTGGTTTCGCTCATAATAACCCCCATGCGTTGCCATTCCTGAGGACTCAGGTGTTATATATATATATATATATATATATATATATATATATATATATATATATATATATATATATATATATAAAACTTCATATATTATAAACATATAATTAGACTAATTTAAACATACATATAATATTTTAAATAAATAAATATATTACATAAATAATAAGACATATAATTTGCACTTTTTAATAATATTTCTAGAACTTCTAAGTTGTGGTCAATCAAAAGAAAACATATTAAAATATATTTATAAAAGATTTCTAACATATTATCCCTTTCCATTGGTATCTGTCACAAGGGTCGGTTCGTAATAAGTTTGGTTCTTTTATTTATAGAGTACGACCCTTGGGCTCTCCCAGGGGGTGTGTTCGGTACTTTGTAGTGTCGAAAGTACATAACGTGTGAAATAGCCCTATTTTCTTGACATGCACTTTATTTGGTAACTAGTTCTTCGCTCCCTACTTAGTACGCGTCGATTTTGAAAGTAAAAAAAAAAAACAATTAAATGGACTACTTCTAGATGTCGTATCAAGTTAAAACATACACCATGTTTTAAGTTAAACCTACAAGAATAGAACTGTAAAAACCGCATTTAATATCGTACAGTAATTTTTGTATGATGCCGTAACAAATATATCTACATAAATGTACTAATACATGGGGGAAAGGGATTGTTAGTAATGGAGACTAAAAATCCCATTGCTAGCAATATACCCAACCAGGTCGACCTCCTCGTGGTTCCTCCTGGAAACTATCGTGGTTAATTGCTGATGAATTCATCATGATGGGCTAACTGGCCTGTTTTCATTCTCATCTATCACCCTTCACTGGTGCTCCGCCAGCGTATCCCGTTAGCGTAGGCGGAGTTACCGTTACATTTTCATCCACCAAAAAAAAAAATTTACTAATAATAACGTACTCATAAACTCTGAACATTTTACATGCCTTTTATGGACAGTCGAGTAAAAATACAGACAAATTGAGAATCTTTTTACCTCGTACATATGGGTTGTAAAATGAGCTCCCATCTTAAATTTATCCCAAACAATATAATATAGGGCTTTTCAACAAACGTGCCTACAAACATTTAAAAGGCCGGCAAAAGCACAAGTAACTTCTCAGGTGTTGCAGGTGTTCAAGGGTGACGGTAGCCACTTTCCATCAGGTGGACCGTCTGCTCGTTTACCTCTCTAACAATAAAAAAAAACTTCCTTTTGAAAGTATCTTAAAATGAATTCGTTTAAAGGACAGGTTAAGTCACATTTTCTTTCATTATAGTTACTCTTTTTTTTTATACAACTTAGAATGGCAAACAAGCTCACGGCCCACCTGATGGAAAGTGTCAACCGTCGCCTATAGACATGAGCAGTACCATGGACATGACAGAGTATACTGTTTCACCCATGATACCCCCCATGCGTTGCCATTCCTGAGGACTCAGGTGTTATTCCTCTGTCCCCTGTAAATTCACGCCATATCCCACCTTTCAAACCGAAACACAGCCATGCAAACACAACTGCTTTACGGTTGAAACACGAATGGGACAGAGGTACCCTTTTCCTTTCTTCTATAATATTTACTGGATTTCTCATATTTCCTTGTGTGTACTATGTATATTAACATGTATGGGTATTATATATTATTTATTGTAATAAATAGTTTAGTAAATAATAAATTTCATATTTTTGTTCAATATAGGTTTTTGTATTTTATGCACGTCAAAATTACGAATTCACTCTTGCGCCACCTACTCACTTGTATATGTTCTCCTTTAAACAAAGGTTGTCTGTAAGAGATTGCCACAGCGATAAAACCACCTTTTGTAACTTTATGTATATATTTAATTTATACTTTATGCTACTTTTTTTATTTTATTTAAAGGTATACACAACAAGTTACAATCAATAACATTATAAACATTTATATAAAGATAATAGTATGAACTAGATTGAAACCCAGACAGGTGTACACGCAGCATGGTTAAAGCAATTGACAAACACTGTTAATTATAAATTATATAAAAAAAAACATACGAATTTAGTAAATAACTACTAACTTTACTACTACTACGTTATTTCACTTGAATTTTCTAATTGTCGTTGTATATTTTTATATTTTTGATGCAATAAAGAGTTGAATAAATTAATAATTAGTCTGAAAAGCATATTCAAGGTATATCAAGACTTCTATTACAAGATAAATTAAGCTTATAATGATAGACGTATGAATAAACATCTAATTCATACAAGATGGGCTCGATAGCGAAATTCGTTATTAACAACCAATTACTAAGCTCATTTAATTAACAAAAAGCTTAATCAGGTTTTGCATATTAATCAAGATTCATTAGTTAGTACGCTGTATAATTGGATACAAAACCAGAGTGGAAATTGAAACCAAAGCAACTGCTATGGAAATTATGAAGCAATAAAAAGCTCACAATTGGCCTGAATTTTTTTAATGTAAAAATTTATGAATGAATGAAAACTGTTTATTGTTTTATTCAAATAATAATACAGATTATAAAAATTGACAATGTACGCAAATAAAATAAATACTTAATTACATAAAAGCAAAATAAAGAGACAAGGCAATAACACAATAATATAAAACAATTACATAAAAATAAGATAAAGAGACAAGGCCAGATAACATTTTTGAATAAAATTTTAATTTTGCAACAAAATTTTGTA